CGCCTTGGCTTTGGCCCCAACCCCAGCCAGCCCCTGCAAGAGAGCTCAGCAACTGCAGATTTCACTGCACGTAAGGCAGGAATTCATAGAATCATAGAATGTTTGGGGCTGGAAGGGACCCCCAGAGGTCACCCAGCCCAACCCCCCTGCAGGGAGCAGGGACACCTCTAACCAGATCAGGTTGCTCACAGCCCCATCCAACCTGGTCTGGAATTACAGCTATGGCCTCAACTGCAACCATAGACATGTACGAATTATGAATCAAAAAAGCCCCCAAATAAACCAAAAAACCTGATCCTGACAGTTCTCTGCTCCAGCTTTGAGTGCCATCAACCTTATCTATGGCAACGCTACACAGGTTTTTATTTTTTTTTTGGCAACAAATGGAGATTATCGTAGCCCAGGCTCAGATAATTTATCACATACAAGTAGACAGAATTGTGCGGGTATTTGGCAGCGTACAAAAACCAGTATTTTAACAAAAATGCCCAAAATGTCAGCCACAGTGGCTCACCCCAAGCCTTCCATCCCCTGTGCTTTCTGACAAATTTTTGGTTAACTAATTTCTTCAAATATTGGCTCTAAACGATATAAATCTAAATTCTGCATTCTTCCCATGCTTTCATTACATGAGTAGCAGCAACAAGTGAGATTTTTGCTTGGAATAACTCCGGTTAGCAACACAAGTCAGTTTTCCCGTGGCTTGTAGACATCATTAGAGCGGGGCTTAACAAGTCCCCTTTGCATGTTAATGGCTTGCTTGCCATTTTGCTGAGCAAAACCAAGTCTCACACCTACAGTTGCTACGTTACTGCTTAGACCTTGTCTTGGCATCAAGGGTTTTTTGTAAATAACCCATTTTCTCCGAGGCTGTTGCCTGCGAGGGGAAAGCAGCTCTATCCAAAAGCGGTGCTCGGTGCTGAAGCAAAGCCTGGCTTCCCTTTCCAGCGTCAACGTGTGCGCTTTTTCTTGTCTGTCTTAAACCCACGGAGAGCGAGCCATGATTAAGTTTTTGAGAATGGGTGTGCCTTGCTGTGGAAGGAACAGAAGAATAATCTGCGAGCACCAAGCACAGTTTCCATTTTCACAGCTCTCCGCAAAACACTTTGACAGACCTAACACATTCCGCCCTCAACACATTGGCTCACGGTCTGCTCCTCAAAAGGAGACACCGATAACCCGGCCCTATTAATACGAGACAGAAGGAGTTGCTAGTTTAAAAGTCTAACTGCTCATTAAGAGGGACAGTGCCCAAAGCCAACAGCCCGCTCCACCTCATCGCGCTGAACTGATCACGTGGAGGCAGGGTAGCGGCGAACGCCACCCATCGCAGGGGCCTGGAACTGCCTCGAGGGGGTTCGCCCCCGTAATCATGAACACGTGTGACAACTTCTCTGCAAAAATTTGCCAGTGGAGCTGAAGGGCTGGATTTGCAACCGGTCGTCTCCAACAGGGGGTTCCTAGAGAGCAACGCAGATCCAGCGTGTGGGCAACCGCCTTGCCCGCAGGCGAGCCTGGATGCAGAATCCAGCTTGCCTTCCACTCCAACCCCCTCTTCCCCCCAAATATCATCAATAAAAAGAGCTTGAAATTTTCCAAATGAATGGAGGAAGGGGGCATAAGCTGGCATGGGCACTTTTAAGCAGATCTCTGTAAACTCGACCGTCAGCCCAGCCTTCCCTTCCCCGCCAGCCGCAGGGAGAAGCAAGCAGGTGCCCCGAGCACATATTTTTAAAGGCTCGCTTGGAGGAAAGACTGCGGTGGATTTTCAAGAAAGAAGTATGTAGTGGAAACATTTTTTTCCACAAAAGCCCATTTTATGGAGCAATACAGGAAAGCATAGTCTGAAATCTTGGAATGCTATTAGTTTTACTACTTTTTGTTATAAATTAACCACGTTCAAAATTTCCATCGACTGCAGGGTGCAGTTTGAAATCCCTGCTTCTGCGAGGTTTATCGAGAACTGTCCTCGGCACTCGGAAAATGTGAGAATGGGAACACAGCAGAAGCACCAAAAGCAAAAAGAAGCCTTTGTGGTGCGGTGGCTGGAAACGAACCCGCCGCCTCTCGGCACCGTTTCGACCGTGACCGAGGCGCGGGGAGTGGATTAACTTCTCCGCTTTCCTACAGACTTCGCTTCTCCCATTTTTCAAGGGCAGCCAATTCCCCTCCCCGAGGGGTGTCACGGGGAACCCGCTGGAGGCCTCTTGAGCACCTTCTGCACACCCACCTTGCCGCGCAATATCCGTAATCGTCTTTAAACGACTCACGACCGCTAACGCGTTTCATCCCTGCGGCTCTTTTCGTCCTCCTCCAGCCAGAAGTAATGGGGCATAGCAAACGGAGGGAAAACCTTTCCGCCAAATTAAACCGATGCCGGAGCAAGTCCTGCCTGAGTTCATCATAAAAGGTAACCGGGAGCAAGGCCAAGTCTGGTCTGGCACAGGCGGCCCACCTGGGAGGGCTTCCCGGAGGACAGCAGACGATGCGTTCTTCGCTGGACACCCCCTGACAAAGCAAACCCTGGAAAAAGGCACTTCCCCGTCCCCCCGATGCAAAAAGACACAGACAATAAGAAAGGAATTACAAACACTAGAAAGCCTTGCGAAAACAACCTACAAGGGCAGGTTAACCTAAGGCATCGCTTCCTGAGCCAAAACCAACAGGGTTTAAGGCGGAACACGATTCCGTATAAATATGCATGGGGTATTAGCTGCGAGAGAGGAGAGAGCCGCTCATTCAGGGAGCACAAGAGAGAGCTGTGGAGCGACCGCTCAGAAGGGGCACGTTTACCTCCGCTGTGAGAGCAAACATTACGGGTGGGAGTCGCAAAAGTATTTTAGGAAGTGAAACGCCCCGTTTCTAGTGGTTTGCAACGAGGGCAAGCCATTTCATTCTCAGGCGTGTTTTGAAAAGCCCACCCTCCAACGTCAGAAAGCGAAGGCGTCTGTTTGGCACGGCAGCGGAGGCACGCTCTTGGCCGTTACCAAGTGCCGCTGACACTTGCCACCGAGCGTCACTGGGGAGCAGAAGATGCCCGGGGTTCTTATGAGTCTACAGGGCATTTATTTTACAAAGCAAACCTCCAACAGAACACCCCCATCCTACCTATCGTCTCATGTTCAATGCACCGAGGCCAGCAAACGCTCTCTGTTGATGCCAGTCTCCACTGCCCACCTCTATCCCAAATTCTGGGGGGTTTTTCCTTCCTACTGTCCTCTGATAGACTGGACCTGCTGCCCCCAAACACAAAAGCTGCTTTTCCTCATGCAGCTCCCTCTACAAAGCACTCATTTGCCCAACTGCCTATGGAAAAAGCTTGACAAAAGGCTTCTAAAGTGCTGAGGCCTCTACTGTTCTCATCAGTCACGTCTTGCTCTCCCAACCTCCTGGCTCCCACTGAACCCCACAAGCGCTCCACAGCAGAAGCTGTCTTGGAATCATAGAATCATTTGCTTGGAAAAGACCTTTAAAATCATTGGGTCCAACCATACCCGTCCACCACTAAA